ACGTTCATATAAAGTGGCTACCATGTTGGCCTTGTGGAAATACCAAAAAAATTCCCCATCATACCATACTGAAACATCCTGAAAACTCAGCACTTATTTACTTAGATAGTAAAGATCAAACTCAAAGAGAGCAGTCCATACCTTTGGCCAATATTAAATTCTGAAGTTACCGCTTACGTAGAGGAAGTAATTCTGAGATCATTATCAATATAGAGGAAAACAGCATAGATCATTTACCTTCTGAATGCCACTTTGCATTTGCTAGGAGTCCTACTTGTGTTATTCTCTATATTTAACTTGTGCAGCCCCGTGGTTTATTTAAGAGACAGATTCTTTTGCGCCCACATCATCCCACATCACAGAAAGAGCTGCTTCATCTCTCAACAAAAGTCCTGGGCTATTGAGCCATCTTCAAACAATGAGATTCAAATGACCACCTTTTCAACACAAAGAACTTGGCCTCTGATATATAATCTAAAAGCTTTGAAACCAAAGTTACAACCCCCGGGTCACAGCTGGAAATGGGCATTACAGTCAGGTATGTTCTGATATCATGAGAGGCAAATTTGCAGAATGTATTGGGTGACTGCCATTGTCATTGTAAGTTATGCTCTGTACTTTATAGTACCTCATGAAACCATAAAAGTGACATTAAACTTTAGATTTCACTGTTTAAATCACACATTTTATTCACCATTTGGCAGTTAAATGCTTCTTAAATACTATGGAAATTTGATGATTTGACACATGTAGGGCTGAATTACTAAGCACAGTAAAACTACACCATACAAAGCCACCTCAAGGCAGAGTAAAAGCTGATTTTCTTCTGTCTCTGAGAAAGGAAGGCGGTACCAAAGTCAGAGCTGACCCTTGTACTCTTAGATGCCATTCCTGTGCGTTCATCAAACCCTAATGGGCATGGACCAGGTTGAGACTTTCCTCATTTTTACTTGCCACCATTGCAGGCTCCAAAGCTACAGAGAAACCCAGTCTCAAAAAAAAAAAAAAAGAAAGAAAACCCACAAAAACGAAACAAAGCAACAATAAAAAAAACCACAAACAAACAACAAGAGCTACTTTGTTTTTCTGATTTTTATCTTGAACCCCAATATCTGTCTCTGGGTTTTTAATTATTTGTTCTATAGCAGATAGCATGTATCCTAAAGTCATCTGTGCCTAGTTTCTAAGCACAAAACTATAGAGCACTATGATGTAGAACGTTCACTTGGCACGATTCCAAACTCACTGTATCAGCATCCCTGATGGCTTGTCCAGACTCTGTGAGCTGTGAATCTTGATTCTCAGATTTACCTCTTACAAAATACAATGTTCTATTTTTGAGATGGAAGATGGCCTTATCTGACAAACATTTTGTTGGTTTTTGGTTTTTAAAACATGTTTTACCAGTTTCAGTAGATCTGTAAAGCAAAGGACACTGTCAGTAAGACAAAAAGGCTGCCTTCTGACTGGGAGAAGATCTTCACCAACCCCTCATCAGACAAAGGTCTGATCTCCAAAATATACAAAGAACTCAAGAAACTAGGCACTAAATCTCTAAATAACCCAATTTAAAAATGGGGTACTGAACTGAACAGAGAATTCACAACAGATGAACTTCGAATGGCCAGAAGACACTTAAGGTCATGCTCAACCTCCTTAGCGATCAGGGAAATGCAAATCAAAACCACTTTGAGATACCATCTTACACCTGTCAGAATAGCTAAAGTCAAAAACACCAACGATAGCCTATGCTGGAGAGGATGTGGAGTGAGGGGAACACTCATCCATTGTTGGTGGGAATGCAAACTTGTGCAGCCACTGTGGAAATCAGTGTGGCGGTTTCTCAGGAAACTGGGAGTCAACCTCCCTCAGGACCCAGCAATTCCACTCTTGGGAATTTACCCTAGATATTCCCTAGCATACAACAAAAGCATTTGTTCAACTATGTTCATAGCAGCACTATTTGTAATAGCCAGAACCTGGAAACAGCCGAGGTGCCCCTCAATAGAAGAATGGTTAAAAAAGGTGTGGAACATATACACATTAGAGTTTTACTCAGCGGTAAAAAATAATGACATCTTGAATTTTGCGTGCAAATGGATGGACATAGAAAACGCTTTACTGAGTGAGGTAAGCCAGGCCCAAAAAGAGGAACACGGTATGTATTCACTCATAAGTGGATTCTAACCATAATTTAAAGGTCTTTGAGCCTATTTTTCGTGATCCTAGAGAAGCTAAATAAGAAGACGATCCTGATGAAGATTATTTAGCTATCCGCCAGGAGGTAGGAAATAGTCAAGAGTCCCAGGTAACCTTGGGTGCACGGTGGGGGGGGGGGTGGGAGGGTTGTTGGAAGGGGAGAGGGTTAGAGAGAAGGGAGTAGGGGAGGAATGGAGAAAGCTCGGTTGACCGGGATGGGGGGAAGGGAGGAAGGATGAATAAGGGATCAGGGAAGAATATATTTCAACTAAGGGAGTCATTTTAGGGTTTATAGGAAACTTGATTATATATGGGATCCCAGGTCCAAGGAGACATCCCCAGATTGTTCTCTGGACAGAGGAGAGGGTGTCTGAACCGGCCTTGGCCCATAGCCATACTGATGAATATTTTGCTTATCACCATAGATCCTTCATCTGGCGATGGATGGCGATACAGACGGAGATCCACATTGGAGCACCGGACTGAGCCCCCCAGGATCCAAATGAGGACCAGAAGGAGGAAGAAAATGACGAAGGACTGCGAGGGATGCTATCACCCACTGATACAAGGGGTCGGATCTCATGAGAGTTTACCAAGGGCAGTTGGACTGCGACTGAACGAGCACGTGATCCAACCAGATTCTCTGAATGTGGCCGGATTCTCTGAATGTGGCTGGCCCGGAGTCTTTCTGAGAAGCCATGGACAATGACACTGGGACTAGTTTCCTCTGCATATACTGGATTTTTGGGATCCAGTCGGTTTGGATACTCACCTTCCTGGACCTGGAGGGAGGGGGGACGAACTTGAACTTCCCACAGAGCTGGAAACCCTGACTGCCCTTAGGGGCAAAGATGGAGGAGGAGAGGGAGGGGGGGAGTGGGAGGGTGTTGGGAAGAGGGGCGTAAATGGAAACTTTTATAATTTAATAAAATTACTGTCAAAAAAAAAACATGTTTTACCGATGCTTTTGCCGATGGGACAGACTTCCCGCACCCCCCACTAATCACTCATCTACCAGCAGTCACTGAGACTCAGGCTCACTTGGTTCTGATTCCAGCTCTGAGTACATGATCTCAAACAGCCATCACATTCATGGCAGGTCAATTTAGTCTGTGCTGTGTAGTCCTAGGACTGTAGGGATTCTGGGAAAGGGCTCTGACTTCCTGCAACAGTTGCTCATCTATGGGTTCCTACTGCATCAATCTCAATCCTCTACCTTCTGTACCTCTTCTTAAGGCCTGACTCCCTTAACAGAACACTTTCTCAAGGTATTTCTAATCTGTGTCAAGGTCCAAGATGCATCAGAATTTCTTATTTTGTGGGAGTATGTCTACCATGGAAGTAGACATTCTAGAAATAGTAGAATAAAAGACAAAACAAAACAAAACAAAACAAAGACCACCAATGAGATGAAAGGACCAGTAGTCCAAACCCTAACGCTATTCTTGCTTAATGATTTTGCCTTTGGCTTTATTAACAAAAATAAACAAGAGTAACAAAAATAGGGATTTCAAGAGTATAATTTTTTTTGGCACACTCAGAAAGTCTAACAGCAATATTAATGAAAGTCTGGATTTACAAAATATGTGACTTACTTCCTCTTATAATCAAACTGAACACATATGACTCAGATCAGAACCACTGTCCAGAAAAATACCTGTGTTTTAGAAGCCTGGGACTTTTTTTTTGTTTAGCATCTGTGTTCTGAATCTGCACCATAGTCACCTAACAAGGCATTTTCTATTATTCTTTTCTTCAGTTCAGTGCATGCTGTTCCTTGTGTCCCTTAGAAATGAGCTTGTCGGTAATCAGAAATCACTTCCACTACAGTTCAGTGCACTTACTGTGGATGTGACAAATGCTTGTTTACAGAACTGGTAATTGGATTAAAACAGTGAAAAGAAACAGAAACAGGGAATGTGGTGGGGAAAAAAAATATGAGAAATACAACCATGAAAAGCAACAAAACCAAAACAAATTAAACAGCTCTAATGAATGAAACTATTATTAACGGGAAGTACTTATCAGTAATAAATACTCCAGAGTGCGGGGTCCCCAGTATCCAAAGGAACAATACTTAGTAAGCTAAAGATGGGAGGAAAGGGACCTGGAAAGAGATGTTCTGTGAGGATGACTTGAAAACAATTGATTAATTTCTAAGTTTCTTCTTCCTTGAAACTGGACTGTATCTAAGCCACTCCGATGTCTAGATACTAAAATACACTAGTAGGGAAAACCTCAAGGTAACTTATTTAAGAGAGGAAATTATTATTTTGAATTTAGACACCATTTTAAGAGCTCTAGAATATAAGTCTGTCTTTTCTGAGGTCTCTTTCCTGATTTTGGGGGACAGAAGAAATTTAACAGTGTAACCTGTGTGACATTGTGTCCATTCAAGAGAGGAATCAATATATAACCATACTTGAAAGTTTCCATTCTCAAAAGTAGATCCATAAAAATACTTTTATGAATAGACTCTGAATAACCCTTTTATAATCCTTTTGCTTTTTAAAGAAGTTCATGTCTTGAGACAATAAAATACCCACAATAAAAGCAAAGCAATATGAGGATGTGAAATCAAAGAGTGTTCTGTTATAGACGCACCAACCAATATCCAACAACAAAACTCTCCGGCAAACATGACCCAAAAGTACAAGGATCAAACTCAGCAATACTCAGAATCCAGAGGAGAACATTCTCAAGAGAAAGAACCAAAATGTTTATTTCCCAGCCAAGTGTGAGCAGGAGAGAAGCAAGAAGCGAGCAAAGCACCATCCCTACCTTCCGGAAGGACACTGTATGCACACCACTCCTCTGGTGTGAGGAAGACAGTGATCTTACCTCAGTGTCTGGCTCACTCCTTTCTGCAGCAGCGTAGACCTAAACAAAAACAAACATGCGTACAGGAAATGAAGTACAGTCTTACAATTTGAGAAAGCCTTTTCAATGCAAAGCTATAATTGTTAAAAACTCCCGGTTTTAAAATCAAGCTACAGTTATCTATCTATCTATCTATCTATCTATCTGTCTGTCTGTCTGTCTGTCTGTCTGTCTGTCTGTCTGTCCGTCCGTCCGTCCGTCCGTCTACCTACCTACCTACCTACCTACCTACCTACCTACCTACCTATCTATCTATCTATCTATCTATCTATCTATCTATCTATCTATCTATCTATCTATCTACCTATCTAGTGTGTTTCTGTGTATGTGAGTGGAGGCCAGAGGATCATTTTTTGGGAGTTGGCAATTTCTTCCTATGTTATTTTTGGGACTTGAACTCAAGTTGTCAGACTTGGTAGCGAGTGCCTTCACCATTGGACTAGAGTTATCTTTGACAAGCGAGATTCCCTCAGAGTTGTTTATGCAAATCAGCCAATTGTTCTAAGTGAACAGTCGCTATTCAGTTGATGGCAGGAGTGAAATTGCAGCTGTAGAAGAAACTTCCTTAGTCTTCGCCATAGTCAAATATTGCTGTCTTGATTTAGACTTTCTACTGCTAGGGTTGCTCTATGACTCTGAAATCTACGTTCCTAAGCCGGGAGTTGGCAAACTAGAGCTGATGGTCCAACTTCAAGTGGCATCCTGTTTGTATGTTGTTCATAAGCTAAGAATAATTCTTGCGTTTCTAAATGTCTGGGAAAAAAAATCAAAGGAAGAATATGTGTTGATAAGATTTTTTTTAAAATGTAAAATCCAAATGTTATTATCTCTAAAGTCTAACTGGAATTCAGCCACACACTTTGTCCACAATCTGTGACTGGCTTTCCATTAAAGTGGCAGATGTGAGTTGTTGGGAAGGAGAGGGTATGGCCTGCTCATCTTGAAGGAACCACTGCCTGGCGCTTTAAGAAAACTGCTGACACCTGGGCGAGAGTGTAATTGATTTCAGCTTTGTTGGAGGACCAGGAAATAATGTGAATAGATGCTAACTAGTAAGGCCAGTTGATAAAATAAGTGACTGATAGCCTTAAAAACTGCCAAAATAAAAGTGTATTTTCCTCTGGAATCATGTTAAGTATTCATGGTTAGCCATAAAGGTGTCCTATGTACAAGTCAAATTCTTGCCTTTTAGTGACAGAAAGTGTGGACTGGCTTTCCCACTAAATTGAGATGTTTACAAGTTCATTTTGACAATTATTCAAGATTATCCTTAGTATTTGATTAGAATAGCTAGAATATTACCTCAATATGGAGTATGTAAAATATTCTTCAAGAGAACTGTTACGCATAATTGGATATCTAATCAATCATCTATCAATCTACTATGTATCTGTCTGTCTACCTATTATCTATCTGTCTGTCTGTCTGTCTATCTATATACCTAATCAAGCACCTATCAGTTTATGGTCTATCCATCTATCATTTATTTATCTATCTCATCAATATATCATCTCTTTATATAGTTAATCATCTATCATCCATTTATTTATCATTTATCCAGTTAAGCATCTATGACCTATCATCATCCATCTCTCATTCATTAATAACACACAGATGGGAAGTTATGGAATTCAGTTCTGAAAATCGTGACAACTTGACTTAATTCAGGTCTCTAATTCTGTTTATTACACCCACAGAGACATATACAGACCCAGTTCCTAGTATTCTGCAATCATGTGAATTTGGGCTACACATACAATTTATGCCTGTGGCCATTTCCCACACAGGGGAAAACAACTTAAAAGTAGTAATGATCCCTTTCAGATAGTTTATTGACCTTCTTTAAGTTTTCAATCCTAAGCGTTTGAATTATTTGGTGAGAGCTTTAAAATACAAATGTTGCAATTTTGTTAGTAAGGTAAAAACCATTTTAAGTAGCCATGGCACTCCATAAGATATTAGATAGAATAATAACCTCAAAATATAACCTTAAGACTACCAGTTCTGTAATAATTTTTTGTTCAGTGCTCAGGTTCATGTATATGAGTAATAGAAAAATATTTTGATGTCTGGTAACTGAATAAAATAGTCAAAATAAGCGAAAGAAGTAGTTAGACAACAAATCTGCCTGACTGGTCAGCTCAAGCAGAGGAACACATTTAGACTGAAGAGAGGAACTTACTAGGTTAAATTTTCAAGTGCCTGTCTTGAAAAGTGACCTAGAGAGACTGTCAGTCCCAGCCACTGTATTGCACAGTATCATGTGAGTTCATTGTCCGCCTGCTTCTATGGAATCGGACCAATCTCAACAGTTAGAGTTTCTTCTGGTCAATGGAATGGTTCAGTCAACTGATGCTGAACAGTTTGGTTCATTGTTTAACAGACAGCAGAAAGGAGTATCCCAAAGGCCGAGTCAGTTTTACCGGAGTCATTTTCAAGTATGACACGTATTCCTTACTGAGAATGTACCTAGAAGGACGGAAGTAGTTACAGCGCTCTATCCTTTCAGGGACACATTAGCCACACAAGAGAGACTTACAACTCTTATGTTGGGTTAGAAGTCACTCAATGGACCTGAAAGAAACTCTGAATCCTAGGATCAATTTCAGAAGTGTTCATTCAGAGTTTCATGATGGGGTTCTAGGAACGTACATTTTTTTTGGTTATAGTTTTTGTGTGAAATACTTCCCTGAGGCATATGTATTTGAACAGTGGGTCACCGGCTGGAGTCACTGTTTGAGCAGGCTGTGGAATCTTTTGGATATGAGGTCATTTGTGTAGGCCATGAGGTTATAAGCTGGGCCTAGCTCCTCTCTGAACTATCTTCACCTCGACCACTGCCATGAGGTAACCTCATATGCTCTCTGACATGACCAACTACTTTCTCTCTACCCATGAGCCAAAGTCAATTTCTCCCGCCTTGAGTTGCTTCTGTGAAGTACTCTACCATGATGATGTGAATAGTGATGAATACAATTTCAATGAATACCCAAGTGATACGAATCTTAAAGAAATCTAAGGCGCTCTCTCTCTCTCTCTCTCTCTCTCTCTCTCTCTCTCTTTCTCTCTCTCTTTCTCTCTGTCTCTTAGCCTGAATCTAAACAGAAACTCTTCTGGGTCTCCCAAAGACCCTTTTTCCTATTAGTATTACCCAATTCCTAAGACATATTTGGCCAGTGTCTTAGTTAGGGTTTCTATTGCTGCGATGAAACACCATGACTAAAAAGTAAGTTGGGGAGGAAAGGGTTTATTTGGCTTATACTTGCAGATCATGGCCTGTCATTGGAGGAAGTCAGAACAGGAACTCAAGTGGGGCTAGAACCTGGAAGCAAGAGCTGATGCAGAGGCCAGGGAGGGGTGCTGCTAAGTGGCTTGTTTCTGCCGGTTTGTTCAGCCTGCATTTTTATAGAACCCAGGACCACCAACCCCGGGACAGCATTACCCACCATGACCTGGGCCCTCCCCTACTGATCATTAATTGAGAAAATGCATTTCCTCAACTGAGGCTCTTTCCTCTCTGATGACTCTAGCTTGCATCTAGTTGACACACAAAACCAGCCAGTACAGGCAGTGTATAAATGGTACTCAGTACATTTCTATTAATTTTGAGGATGGAAATGATGTGATTTCCCCCAAGTATTTTATGATCATCATGTAATTGTATACTGTAATGTCTCGGGAGAATAATCCTGGCAGATTTCTTTTCCTAAGCCATACATTGCTTTGGCCATCATTACCTTACATCTGTCAAACAAAACCACGAGCAGCTGTGCTGATAAGATCTGCTTCTTTTGGACCATACTAAAAGGTTTATCTTATTAATAAATGGAGGCAATTAAAGGTTAACTAGTTAGCTCATCCAGCCCTTAGCATAATGACTGATTATGCAGGCATGCTCAATTTAATTGCTCAAATTTAAAGCTTATGTTTTTAAATTTGGGAAATCTGCAAGTAATTCTCATCTCCAGTTCTACATGTCAGCTTTATCAGAGCTAACTAGCAAATCAATGATGATTCATATATCTTTAGGAGAAGTAGGGCCAGGGCCATCTTCTGCCCTTCTACATTGGACACATATTATTGGCAGATACAGAGTATCACAGCACACTGCATAGAAACTTCCATGGGAGCCAAGGGTGGAATGTATATTAAGGAACTGTAGTTCATGAATTGCTGGAGTCTCAGTATGGACGTCTTTTACATTCTTGCAGATGTTAACTTTAGAACTTAACCAGGTTCTCACAGGAAATGCTGGAGGAAAACCTTTCAACGTTTTTTTTGTTTGTTTGTTTGTTTGTTTTTTTTCAGGAGCAAGGGAGAAAAAAAGAACCATGTTAACTCTGCTAACAGTCTACCCTCAGGAGAAACTAGTTCACCAGAGTCTGACCTGGAGGATTTTATCAGAGCACAGATCACTGGAGTGGGGAGATATCCAACTCTAAGCAACTTTGGCTTTCCCCTTGGGAGAGGGACACAATTCCAAACCACAGTAGCCATCTTGTGTCATATGGTAGGTAGGGGTGAGGGTAGAGATACACAAACACTGTAAAGTTCAGAATCCAGCTTACATGGAATCATTGGACTATAGAATGCTTTCCTACCCCATACTCTTAGCATCTGCTTTTACTGAGGTCTATTGACAGAAGTTCTTCTTACCCAGCACACACTATGTGAATACAAAACCAAACCAAACCAAGTCAAACCAACCCAATCTAAGGGCAATCTGGAATTTAAAAAGACACTGTGAAGAGGCAGAGCAAATATCAGAAGCAGATAATGTGGGATGAATGACCTCACAGAGAAGTTAAAACAACAAATAAGACAGTGACTAGGAGCATATGGGCAATATAAGAAGAGAGATGTAAAGTCTAAAAATGAACCAAAAAGACATGAGAGATAAATACCACCATGGCAGAACTGAAGGTGCCTTTCACGGGCTTGTTGGTAGATAAAACCTGGCTGGGGAAAGAATTCTAAATTTGAAGACAGCATGTTATAGA